CATTTTCTTTATGGCCTTGCCAACGGTAATGCATTAGCCGCCAGGCACCTCCATGAGCAGAAATACCTTAATCGTATAATTCCTCATCATACTATTTTCACCCGTCTTCATCAACGTCTTAGTGAAACTGGAAGTTTTCGAAAACTTACCGCAGGAAACGGGCGACCCCGCACAGCAATAACCCGACAATTAGAGGAAGATGTACTTCATGAAATTGAAGACACTCCAACAACAAGTACCAGACAGATTGCAAGAAACTTAATTGCAAGTCGTTCTAAATAAAAAGCTTACAAGAGTGTAGTACACACTAATTATATATAAAAATCTAATTAAGTAACTAAAATGTCACGAAATCAGTAAAAAGTTAATAGAAGAGATACCAATAACACTGGTGAAGTATCTGGCAACAACTAATACGTAACAATGCTATTTTTAACCAAACAATCTACAATCTGTTGTAACAATCTGCTATTGTTACAACAATTAGTTGTAACAATAGCATTGTTACAACTAATACGTAACAATGCTATTTTTAACCAAACAATCTGCGGCACGAAAATTTTCCCAAAAAAACAACGGACCGACAATTCGAGAGGTCCGATCAAAATATTTACATACAAAATGCATTGCGACACAATCTATAGGTTAATGGTTAATATTTACATTTTATATAATATCGCACCGCAAATACTTTTTTATACATAGACTTGGCAGAGATCGAACCGCTTATAACTTTAAAAACGTACCTCCGAAAAGTTACGTGATATATGTTTAAACCAACAGTAAGTATACACTGCTGGATTAGCGATAGCGGCTGGTTTGCAAATTAAAACAGCTAAAAATAAACTAGGAAGATATAGAATGCCATACGATAAATTAACTGTACAATCACCTTAGAGACTGCGTATATGTACAACTTACTGTGAGTTTATTATTGAAATTACAAAAAAGTTTTAGCCTTTTTTATGAATTCTTATAATACAGTATTAGAAAAAAACATTTAAATAATGGATATCACTAAATTAAAGAAATTGGATGCGCAGCCGAGTCTATTAAAGCAGCCAAGGTACTGTCAAGTTAAACAAACAATTCTTTCGTCGATCTATTTCAATTTTATCACAATAGCAAATTTATTTTGTATTACTAGAGTAAAAATGATTCTAATGCCTAGCCAGTAAATGTGACACTTTAGTGCCTAACAGATGTCAATAAAACTAGCCCTTTAATGTCGATCGGCGAAGAATGACAATGTTTATCAAACAAATGACACAGCAAAAATTTGCATATTCCAGAAACATAAAAAGTATTGACCTTCATTTTTTATCTCGCACAGACAGTTTAACGACAGATTTTCATACGCTATACATGTAAATGGACATGACCAGATAAAAAGAGATAAGTGAATTACCACAAGCGCCTGTGTTGCTATTTCCACACATATTTACGGATCAAATTATCTCTAACAATTTTTTTAAACTAAACCGAGACACTTCACTGCCAAAACCTCACCCAATATTAATACACCAGACGACGAGGTGTACTGTAATCCACGACGCCAGGCTTTAGATAAACTTTAGGTACATAAACGATTGTCTAAATAAAAAAAATTGAATCCCACTGGGCCATCACCAATTTTATCAGTACTGTGTCAACAAAACGGTATTTACTGAAAAATGTGTAATTAGTATCTAGATAATAGGACAGGACTCGATCACGCACCCAACATTTAGAACGATTTATACCAGCAATAATCATAATTGCTGTATTGTTGATCTTAACACATTCTTATCTGGCAAAGGTCAGGCATCTTCCCTTGGGTCAGACAATAATCGTGTTTGTTTGCGATGGTTTATAAATAAACTTTTATTTTGGCATATGTCTTTGACATTGAAAATGAAGTTTACAAAATTATTAGATAAGGGGATGGATATCAGAATGTTTACATTCCTGTTGTATTATTCAAATCGTTTCTGGAATCACTTTTAAGTTATTTCAATATTAAAGTCTGTCCCCGATTTTCAAAAATCAAAGTCATGCTTACTAAAGTTAATTAAAACTGAATTAAGGAATATTAAAACACTTTCGGGAATTCCAACATATGAACGAGAAAAAGTCTTGTTTAACAACAGTTGAAGACATAATAAAGTCCAGGAATTTTTTAGGGTATAAATAAGCGGTAGTTTTGAATGTAATTGTCTGGAGCAGAAAAATTGTAGGTGATTCAGCTGGTTTTCTAGAAATAATATGCACTGCCGTAGATTTTGGAACGCGAACATTTTATTTTTAAGATTTTTGTACTTATAAATATAACTTAGCTACTAGACGGCGTGAAAGTCGTAGTAGATGCTGCTTTCCAAATTTTGATTTACTGTACCTTTAAAATAAACTGTTTATATTTGTCCATCTTAAATAAAATAAATGTCTGGCGAAATAAAATCTTCAACATCTTTTAAAGTAAATATCAATGCGAACGCTCATTAAATTTAAACGGAAAATATTACGTGAATAGCCTTTTATATCCAAATAACAAACCTATGTAATTTTTGTAAAAGGAAACCTATTCATTTATTTTCATAGGTGTCACGAGTTCTTTGTTACTATTGAAAATGTCATTTCAATTTTTATGAGGGTAATTAAAATGTTATTATTTTTATGTGTTTCCTAGTTTCTCATTATGTGAGTTTAATAAATGTCAATTAAAATGACATTCTGCGCCAACTTTTCATAACTCGGCCGTATTTTTAATCATTTCTTATAGTCCAATAACTGAAGCATTTTGGATACAAATTTTTTCGGATGGAATGGATTGACGTGAAATTTGAACTGTAGCTAGGGAATAGCCCAAGAAACAAAAGTTATATAGTGCCGATGTGTGCTTGTACCTTAGGCGTGGATGCCACCCCTTCTGGAAGGTGTGAATTTTTTTTATTAAAAATAACCTCACGATTCGATAGAGGGACGAATTGTAAGCAAAAAATGTTCTGTAAGAATTTTTTATACAGTCAATACTTTTTGAGTTATTTCCGCCTAAACATGTTCGTTTTTAGCCCAAAAATGCATGTGTTGAGCCATTTTTCGCGAATATCTCAAAAACTACAAGTTTTATCAAAAAAATTATCATAAGCAAAAATGAAGGTAATTGTAATTGTCCTGTAGCGGAAAAATTAAAGGTTTTTCGAGGAAAACTAATATAACACCTATTAAAGTTTTTGAAAAGACCTTTAAATTGAGTGGTGGTAGAAGTCGTTAGCATGAAAACTAATGAAGTTACAATCAAAATAAAATGATTGTCTTGATTTTTGAGAAAAAAAATCGGTATTAAAACTAATGACTTGACGGAAAAAAAATTAAACGTATTAAGGGTTTTTTGGATGGTTGAAAAGTTGCAATATATCATACATAGATCATTTGAAAATCAATAAAAAGCATTCAATGGTATGCATTCAACATATGCATACCATTAAAACATCTCAAACTTTCAATAATATTTTATTTTATTATCAGGGATGGTTTTTAAGGGTTGCAACTTTGTAATGAGTCGTAAGCTTTTTAATGAAAGAAACGCATTGTGAATGCACCAAAAGAATATTTTAAACTGTTAAAAACTTTTTTCTATGATTTTGGCCATGGAAGGGTAGTTTTTAAGGATTTTTAAGGGTTGAAAAGTAATTAAATTTCATAAATTAAATTAAAAAACATGAAAGTAACGATATCCAACATATTTGAACATGAACAGAATCTTTAAACTACGTAAATCTGCGATTTTCGATTTTTCGTAGTACAAGGGTAGTTTTCACCCCTAAATAGAAAAAAGCACACATCTAGACAATATAACTTTTGAAGTGGGGGTCAGATGAGCTTGTGTGCAAATATTCGGGAAAATCCATGCTATCCGAAAAAATTGGAAGCTTTTACCTTATTTTCGCCTTCAGTACCTGGACTATTATTCAAAAACAAGAATTCAGGACATAGGCAAGAAAAAAAGTCAGATATACTCAGATATCATTGTTTACTTCTAAGGTTATTGATCCTTTCCAAGGGTTGACTTTAGGTGTGAATTAATTTCGCGCTAAATAAAGTTAAATATACACACCTATAACAGGTATGTGTATATATGTATTTTTAACTTATCCATGCGATAATCCTTATCACTTTTGCAAACGCTAATGTTATTTTCCAAACTGATATCAGTGACAGTATTTTTTTACAGAAAACAATTCCCGTAAATAAAATATACCGCTTGTTAACTTTTAACTCTTCCGAAAAAAAAACTACCCATGTATTAATACAACAAAGGGTGTGACTTATAAGGCGAATATGCCCTTATTGCGTCTCACGAATTGGGTCACACCATGCGTTGGGTCAATTTATAGGTCAAAACAAAATGTAATATTCGAGATCTTTCCCTGATATCGGTGTAGATTTATTCATCGAAAGCGGCAACAAAACACGGAACAGAAAATTTTATTGTACTTGCGAGCATTCGTATTATGATTGTAAAGATTTTACTGAAGCGTAAAAATTTTATCTTGCGTTAATTTATCTCTACCAAAAGCAAATTAAATTATCAAGTAATCCACCTGCTACACATATTATTGTTTGTCTTGAAGGTATTTATTACAAACCTGTGTACTTGAGAGTGCTATTTTAAGCCAGCCAAACGTAACCGGTATAGTAAGCACGATCTAGAACAACAAAATTTAAATGTCAGGTCAGGAAAACTTTAACTTAAGACGTTGTTTAGGTTCGCATTTCATTAATTCTTAATTACCGCCGCGTCAACGTAAACCCGTCGTAATTTCACCAGAAAATAAACATATTACGACGATTACAACAATCGATAACAAACAGCGATTAGCTTGAGCCCGAGAGATTCCTTATCTCGCACTCTCGCAGAGAAAATATCAACATTGCAACCAAGACCTGGGTCAACCCGGTGCAAATCGGAAAACACTCGCGGGGGAGGCATGCAAAAGCAACATGGGTGTTATTAAACAGACCTGGTGGTTGGCGGTGGTCGTCGGGTATTCGCAAAAAGTAAAGGCAAGACGCCGACGTCCGTGAGCGACGCACAAGCGTCCGCAAACCTCGGACACTATCACCACACTCAAGCGACAAGGGCGGCGCAAGGTCGTGTGGACGAGCACGACAAGAGCGCCACAGACGGGCGGCGACGGTGCCCCACTACCGTTAGCATCCCCACGCATCTCGGGTGCATCTATTTCGGAACGGCCTCTTGCCTCTTGCGTGTTGATTTTATTATTGGGCCTGAGGTTTTTCGATCCGACCGAGGTATCACACGCCGGACCCGTGGTTCTGGCCTGGCGGGGTGTCGGCCCCGGCGAGCGAGGTTATGTCGGTGTCGACGGGGACGACGTCGAGGTTACACGAGGACGCTGGGAGCGGTACCGCACCAGAGACGATAAATTGATTGCGTGTACGCGATGTTTCCAAACTGTGATTTGATCTCGTCTTAAAATATGATGTTAGTAGTCCAGTAGCAGTGGATGATTATCGAAAATTGAGTCCTCAGCTATCGATAACACCGGCACTCGTAAAAAACTCAAGTGCGGAGATGTAGACTCCCATAGTGCTACTCATTTTGTTAATAATCGATAAACACACTCTTATAGACCAGGGAAATAAGAATTTACCAGGACAAAAAATTATCCAGGTGTCTGGACAAGCGTTTTAGGTAATATTGACCTATAGGAAGAAATCCTACCAATTTCCTGCGTGAAATTCATTGAAGTTTTTTATTTATTAACAATTAAGTGCAAAAAATGCAAATTTTCGCTCTTTTTGCCTTGTTTATATCCGATTGAAAATATGAAGTAATCATTACTTGAAACGTAAATCAAGCTTTAAAATGGCGCTTTATAAACGTCGATAAATTAATTTGTTGCTTAGAAATTTGCAAAATAAGGGAAAAATAAAAATTGACAATAAGTCTTGTAAAAATACACCTACAACTATGTTATGTGCATGAAAAGTTGGGTCTTGTGATACTTTATAACTGCGACACCCTGTACAAGCTAGAAATCATACAAAAACAAGAGAATGATAGAACAAATAAGTAGAAGTAGCAATAAGGTCTCCAAAATTTTGAGGTTTATATGATCATCAATGAACTAAAGATAGATCAAGGGACCTAGATTAGACCTTTGAGGAACTCCAGGTATTTGCTAGAACGGAATCCATTATTCCAAGCTAATAAAATTTGAGGAACTCTATCAATCCTTGATTAAAATCAAAGTACTCTAGTTTTTCAAGAAAAATAAGATGGCAGTACGATCGAACTCTTACGATAATAAAAAGGTCATCGTCAAAAACTGACCTTAACGACATACAAAGCAAATATGTACTTTTAATGAAGGGAGAGTAACTACTATACAGGGTGATTCTACATTATGAGCCAAACTGAAACAGGAAAATGTGTGGCCCTTTTTTCCACAGAAACTATTTTTGCTAAGAATTCGAAGACCTTTGTTTACAAAAAACTTTTCGATTACAATTTTTAAAAACACCACGCGCGTAAGCAGAATTAATCCTCAAAATTAATGTTGCAATTCCCCCTTTCCCTGCGTCACACCAGTGAGCGAGAAACAGCCGGAAGTTTATCGAAATTTCTGCGCGTATACAGCTGCATCGACCTCCCGAAAACGTACCTACAAACGCGGTCAAGAAAGCACGTGGTTATCGAATGTAATAAATGAAGTTAAACTGACGACGCCGGCGTCTCGGGGCGTCCACACTGCGCAACTACAGCCCTCCAGTCATATGTGCCTCTGCAGGGCTGGCGATTTTTGCGTTAGTACCTTCTCGCTATGTCCCTCTGTGTACCACCCACGTAAAATGCACTTTCGTCTCTGCTGAATTGCCTCTTCCTAATATGTTGCTCGCACGAAGGCTTCCCGGTCTCTTATACACATATCGCTACACCGTGTACTCTATCATAATCCTCCTCTGTACCTTCGTTAGTTTTTTGTTTAAGTGGAACATACTGTGCTTGAACATACAAGCATGGCAGCACGTGAAAAAAATGGTAAGTACCCACTTGTTCAGTTTTTGGAACTTTCACGAATTGTCTGCGTTAATAGATAGAAGTATCGAAATGGAAATCGTTATATGCATACAGGGGGGCAGTGGCGTACGCATTAAATGACTGTAAGGTCAAGTAAAATATTTAATACAAATAATAATCCACTTCTGTTCCTTTTAGGGACAAAAAAATAAGTATAAAAGTGTATGTCATGAAGCATAAACGTATGTTTATATTATATTAGCTTGAACTAGATGTCGCTACAAAATGGGTTAACAGTTCATTTAAAAATTCAAAATGTAAACACGAAATACAGATTCTACCAAAAAAATCAAAAGATTCTATCAAATCAATCAAATATATCAGTGTATGTACCGTAGTAATAATACCCGATAATGCTACAGGATACAAGTTTCGCAAGTACTAGAAAAATATAGATCTTTTGAGGCAACAATATCGCTAAACCATGCGGACTTGCCAATAACACAATCTAATGTTTCATAATCAGTTTTAACTATCTGATTGATGTGATTGGAAAAAGAAAGTTTTACACATCACTTGAAGACCTTTAACACATTACAGTTAAAAGAAAGATAATGAATGTATGAACAAATCCTAAATTTACTAACATCAAAAGACTCTTTTAGTGTGACGTCACATATTTAGGCAACCCACAACAAATTGTCATAGTTGAAATTGTACAGACCGAATCTAACCCTTGTGTAGTATTTACATAAATGCTATAAAAATGAGCAACTTCAAATTAATTTATTTTTACAAAGATTTGTAAGTATTTAAGAACAACCAACACGTGTTTGGTAAAATAGATACATTACTGTTCTTAAAACTTACAAAAAACGATATAAAAGAATATTCCTAAATTTAAATAAAGTAAAAATTTAACATTAGCCGTGTTATGCCTAATGCGCATGCTCGGAAAGAATAGCCTCCTACGCAGGTGAGCTCTTGTTGACATGTTATCGCTGTCATCATTAGCGTATTTTCTCTTGTTTTATTTAATTTTGGCATTTTTTATTTCTTCAAAGTATTGTTATTGTTTTTCTTGGTGTTGTACTGTGTCAGTGTGTTTATCGAGTGTTTTTTTCATCAAATTTTCCTACTTCGCTTACATGAAAATATTTTTAATGCGCATGCTCAGTAACATTGATATAATTTTAATTTATTAATTATAAAAGTCGATATTGTTCTATAAATTTAAATATATAAATTCTATAATTCTATTAGTTTGTCACTTGGGGTTTGAAACTTCTTAAATATTTCTAATATTGCCAGAATATCGCAATACTTAAGGTCATGACAAAAAAGCCATTTTTTTGGCAGTTACGTCCAAAGTACTAAGGTCGAAAATCGATCTAGTAAAAACATTGAGAAATCGGCAGAAACCAAATGACTTTAGTTTAGCGTTAGAGAAAGATCGTTGATAAATAAGATTGAAAGAAATGGCTCGAGGTTCGATTCTTGAGGTACACCAGAGGTAATTGAAAACGCATTTATTTATTTATGGTAAATGAATGACTCAAATTACAAAAAAGTAGCACAGTATTTTGCTCAAGAATTTCCTCAAATCCAATCGGACACATTACAATTAGTTTCTGAAATAAGAAACTGGAAAAATATTGTTATTTTCAATATATCAGTTAATTTGTATTAATTATATTTACGGGTATTATTTTTAATTTGTATCTATTAATTATTTTGAATTTGCTTGAATTAACTTAATACAGTAAAATATAGTAAAAAATACGGGAGCTAATAATTAATTATGTTTTTTATAAAAAGTCACTTGATCAATAAAGTAATTTTAGGAATTTCGGTGCTTAGACAGTGAATTTTTTTTATATTACACTATTTTGGGATGCAATAGTCAACATTTGTTATTGAGGATTGATTTTTTTAATTATACAGGATGTCCCAGAATATATGGGCAATCTCTCGGATTTATACAGGGGACGTTAAAATAACATGACAAGTTCCTATAAATCCTAAAGAACGTCCCTGAAAATCGATTTTTTAATAATTTTAAAATGTGCAATTTATTATTTTTAGGAAAAAACAAATATAAATAAAAGCGGCATTTTTTTAGATAGGCACAGAAAGAATGAATTTCATCAGTTTATTTACCTTTACGGATGTAATATAGATCAGATTAAACAAAAATCGATTTTTCTCGAAAACAGTTCATTTTATTTATTTATTTATTTTTATGGACATCAGTGTCTTTTTTAGTTTAAGGTTCAAGCTATCTAAAAATATTATTTTTGTGCTTTTCCGTAAATGGTGGAAAAGATTGACATTATTGTGCTAGAACTAGTCCGTCCCTGGCAAACCAAATAAGCCACACATATTCTGGGACACCCTGTATAAAACATCTTATACGTCGTTTTAACCATACGACAAACCAATATGGCGTCCATGCGGAGTAAAAAACAGCCTGAATGTTCACCTAATGTTCTATTTTGCAGTCACCAATTTTAATGTTTTACTGTAGCTCACACAGAAATAAAATCGAAATGTTTGTAGACATAACAAAACTAAAAACACAATTATCCTTGCACCCCTCGCATCCGCGAACAACTAAATCTACAGGGTGTCCCATTTAAAACGGATTCAACAGAAAACTGAAACAAAATCGATTCCTTCGCAGTTCAAATTTGTTTTAGATTAGAAGAATCCATCTTAAATGAGACGCTCTGTATATGCCGGAGTAAATCGATACTGTCAAGGTATTTGTGCCTCATACAACCACATAATACACAGAGGCTTACGTTACACCGTCTGCATTGTTCTGTTCTCTAACGAAAGGGTAATTCTACCCGTTGCCACGGTGTGATGGTAAAAGATCAATGACAGGACATGCATATTAACTCATATCGAGGAGGCCGTTTTCCAATGCACGCGAAGAGATGCTTCAGTGCCTCCTCGTGGATTTAAACTGGTCCAAGGGAATAATAAATAATAGCATCGGAGGTCCAAAATTTTGGGAAAAAGTTAGAGTCGTCCCGAGACATCGGGAAAATGACCTCTATAAGTTATTTAGGTCATAAGAGACTACCATCTAGTGAACTTGATGATCTTGATGAAGGTCATTTTCAAGATTATTTCAAGGTCAACTTTTTTCCTTAAGATAATACAAATTTGACTCCGGATTCTTGAATCACAAAATGACCTGGGAAGTGGTTTCTTTTTAGTTTGCCACTTCTTTCCTCACTTTACTGGCGAATCAGATCTGATTTTTCTAATCCTGGATTTTACGGATATGAATTCATGTCAGATTATAGTTCACAGAAGGACATTGTATACAAAATATACATGTATGTCATTCCCAGTCCACATAAAGTGATTCTATATCATTTTTCCACGGATTTAGCAAACAACATCGATAAAACATAAAAATCCTCTAGCTCTAACATGCTCATCTACATCGAGATGCTTGCGATCCTTGATTACACCAAAACATTGACAAAAAAAATGTTTGCCGCACTCTAACCGATTCCTTTGTTTCAGTGCAACCTCTACGAAGAAGGCCTGGCCATAGGATCCCTCTGCGCGCCCCTTTGCATCACCAAGGACATTCACTCCCTTACGTGCCACTCCTTCGAGGCGACAAAGGAGGCCGTGTTCAGCGCTGAATGGCACAACATCCGCCTGGTCTTCAAATCGGTCCCTAAAGACCTCCAGGCCATCCACTGGTTCGACAACAAGGTCATCAAGTACCCCACCGAGAAGGAGTTCCTCACCACAATCCGTACCATAGTGAAGAACAAACTGAACCTGACTCTAGCTTATGACACAGCCGTTAGGCTCTCCAGGCTGAAGCCTACATACGAGGAGAAGAACAAAGAGAAGCGCCACAAGGAAATGGACAACCTCTGGTTCCTATTGCAAGACAATGAATACCTGGTGTCGACTTTATTCACGGATAAGGACGTTTTCCCTCAACTACTCGGGACTTGCGGGCCTTACTTCGCTGTCGAGTACTTGGAACCAGTGCCGGACATATCTTCATTACTGACAATAAGCGACAGTAGGGAGGATTGGGGGAAAAGGCTCAAGGTAGCAGTCCAAGTCCTCGACCTGCTCGACGAGCTGGAGACGGGGTTTCGGGAACCGTTCCACCTGTGCGACATAAAGATACAACATTTCGGCCTCGTGAAAGGCAGGAACAAACTGAAATTCATCGACCTCGACGGCGTTCTACCAAAGTCCGTGGTGAACACCATCATCCGGGAGGCGGAGTACTGCGAGCGCGACAACGATTGCGACTTCTTCGACTGCAGGTCGAGGTGCAACCTGGAGGTCCGCAAATGCACCAATCCAGTCGCGAACAACAACCTGCAGATCGTCTGCGAGAAGATATTTCTGGGTTGGAGGATGTCGACCACTGTGATAGTGCCTGGATTGTTGATGTCCCAACACACGCCCTCGGAGCTGGCGTCGATCCTGAGGCAGTGCGCCAACCCGGAAGGGGAGGAGGGGAAGCCCAGGACGGCGCCGGAAGGGGAGGTGAAGAAGAGGCTGTACAACGTCCTGAGCGAGATCGAACAATCCGTCAATAACGATTTCTTTCTTTAGCGAATAGGGTGCGCTTCTAGGCGATTTACTTGTACATATTTGTTACTTTAATAAAAGTTCTTATACAGAAGTGCTGTTAAACCTCAGTCTATTTAGATATAAAGTGTACAGTGTTATGGGGAACGTCAGCAAAAGGCTGTCATAGCATCGCAACGGTCATTTTCCTTTGCGGTTCATCTTGCACATATTTGAGGATATGACCTTGACAACATGCCCCTTAAAGCCAAGTAAACCGATGGAACCAAATAGGACTCTTTCTGTATGGGTAATAAGGTCCTGAAAGGTCATCATTTGTCGATAATTGGTTCCCCATTGCCACAAACGCCTGGCTTGCAATATTTTTTTAGAAGGGTTACAAAAAATTGTGGTATTTGTGTCGATTTGTTATTTTCGCGACCGGTGATTTTTGTTCAAGTGTATTTAATTAATATTTTTATGGTGTGTTGAAGTGAAATATTCACACGTATACCGAAATGATAGATATGTTGGTACGATGGTCATAGAAATATTCCAAATGAACATAAGTTGACAATACGATAAGAAAGCAAGATGTAGACCATCTATATATTTACACTTGTTACAAATATCAAGGAATTGTAGTTGAATAAACATAAGAAATTTTAAAGTAAATCTTTCAATATACAGGATGTTACAAATTCGCTTCTCACTACAGAGATCTCGGAAACGGTAAGAGATACGAAGTAGCTTAAATGGGGGCAAAGAATCATGGCTAAGATGATTTAGTTTTCGAAATATTTGAAAAAAAAAAACGAAACTTTGGAAATTCGTTTTTGTATCATTTCAGTATTTCATCATTTTGAGGTAATATTGAAAAAAAAAGAGAAAAAGTTCTTTTTTCGATATCTCCTCGAACAAAGCTGAAATGAAACAAAAACGGATTTCCAAAATTTCGATTTCTTTCAAATATTTTGAAAACTGATGATGTTAGCCTTAATTTTTTTGAGGCATAATGTTGATCCCCTGATTACGCAACTTTGCCCCCATTTAAGCTACTTCGTATCCCTGTAGTGAGAAGCGAATATGTAAAAGCCTGTATACACTGTGGCATATACCCTTACCTACGCCCATGGCGACATAAAAAAGTATTTGATAGGTCAGAAACGAAGCTACATATTATAGTGCAGCAAATTTCAATAAATTATTTCTTACGGTTTCCGTTATATTGGTAACAATCTTTTTTTAACATTCTGTAACTCCGAAAGTAGACTGTTTGAGACATATGGACACACACGAACTGACTGACTACCACTTTTATTATCGGAACATACTTAAATATCATTCAGAATAAATAAAAAGTCTCAATATTTGTTTTACTATATCGAAAGTGAACTGAAAATTGAATTAATTAGCTGTTACAACTGATTAAACATTAAAAAACTGTCGAATTATTTGGAAAAACTGTGGAATTTCAACAAATAGGCGAGATCAATTTATATTCTTTCATATATTTACGAGATAAAAAAGTTATCTATAAGAGACCTAAACATATTATTAAAAAAAACGATATTTGTTTATTAGAGAAGTAAGTAAAGTTTTGTTCATTCGTTCGTGGTATAAAAATTTTGATTGTCTCCTTTTAAATTAAAATTTTGTTAGAAAAAATGGCGAAATACAAAAACATCTAGTAAAGAGTAGATAGCTGTCTAACATTTAACGAATTTAATAACTGTATGTCTGTAGCATTACTTACACATAGTTTATCCAAATCATTGATTCAAGCTTCCACTAATATATCACAATTTTAAAACCACAATAATTTTTACACGAAAAACAACCACAATTTAGGTACCTATTTCACATTAAACAAACCATACGCCGTACAGCGACGTGCAAGTCGTCTTTTGGCAGGTAAGCTGCGCTACGTGCTAGTTTCGTATGCGGAGGGATGGATGGACAATACCCACCCCTAGTCCCTCACAGCCCCATTCAGCTATCAAACTGAATACCTACTTATAGCATCCGAAAATAGTTCGGCAGACCCGTTATATTGTTGAAAATTTACCATTACGTAGAAGTAACTTCATATTACTACCATACGCGTAAATATATTTACCGTTTTATATTGTAGTAACGATGATGCGGGTTGAAATCATTAATTACGTGTATGTTAATTTAAGTAAAACAATAATTTACATATAACATAATTAACCGTAATGATATATAACGTATAACTGTACGCAGGAAACTAATTTGTAGTAAGCACTGTTTGCAGAAGGTTCTGAAGAGGTTCAGAGTGATATTCTTTTCAGGAGAAGTTTCAACAACAAATGAAAATTACAAGTTTTGTTCTCCCAAAATGGCAGATATAAATAAATTTGCATAAAAAAATATTAACGTTGAGGTAACTTGTTTTAAGATTTGAATTTTCGCGCAAATTTAAGTAGTTCTTAAAGAAGGAAGAAGAGATGTCATGGTCAAATGTTTTCTGCTCTTCTATTAAGTTTCAGTGGTCAGATATGAGAGAATGTGAGGTTACAAACACAAACCATTAACAAAGTTATAAAAAGAATACAAGTTGCAAGAAACGCTGTTATATTTATTTTTTTGGGAAGTTATTACAAAAACATATTGTGTGTGTAGTTCCTCACCTCACCTATATATAGGGGGTTTCAGAAAGACCTTCTGTAAATACAGGGGGTGATAGTACGACAACAAATAAGAATTTTTCGTCATATGGACTATATTATGTCTATCTCATCTTGTTTTCGAGATAAAGAGCGATAAAATAAAAATTTTTAAATAGAATTTTAAGAAAACGGTGCGGAATATTTTATTATTCAAATTTCGTGGCTGAACACATACATGTATTGTATTTTTGAAGCCGAGTGAGTTGAGTGAAACTAAATGTGTACAGGACATAGCTAGTACCATGCGAAACATCGCCATTATTTTAAAAATGTTGTCACCGCCGTTCTTGGGGGTGAACATTCGAAAAATGTAGAATTATTCAAATTTCGTGGCTGAAAACGAACATAGGTATTGTATTTTTGAAACCGAGTGGGTTTCGCGAAACTAAATGTGTACAGGACATAGCTAGTACCATGCGAAACATCGCCTTAATGTTCTTTAAGTTTTTGCGATGTTAAAATTTGAGAACCACTGTTTTGTTGATTAAATGTTGCCTCTGAGTAGGTATCTTGTTTGAAGCAACCAGTTATACACAACAGGTTAAAATTTTGTAAATCAGCATTTTCTCCTGTTTCAATAAGAAAATTAATAAAGTAAATAAAATAAAGTAATAAACCTCGCTTTATCCTCGGACTTAAACTTTGAGTACAAGGCTTGCATTAAATAGTAATAGATGCAAATTAAATTAATTACTGTGAAAAAACATGAAAACACTAATATTTGTATACAGGGTGTTCCAGGACCCAAGGTAAAGTGGCAATGCTTATACAGGGTGTCCGCAAATTTCACCGACTTTGACTGCAACGATAAATAATGATATACGAAAAAAAAGTTAAATAAATTTTTGGTTTTTGAGTCAAAGTCCTTCAGAGTTGTCAAAAATAAAACTAACTTAATTTAATAACTTCATAACTCTTTCAGCGATTGAGTTTAAATTTCGCACATTTATTTGGACTATTATGGTGTATTATTTCTTAAAGCTTTAGTCAAACCGATATACTGGGGGGTAGTTTTCTCCGGTTACCTCCCAACATTGAAAAGGTCGTTTTATTTAAAAAAAAAAATGTCTCTTGAGAAAATCGCCTACAGAAAACCATTCTTGGGAAAAATTGCATTATTTGCGGGTCTGAATATTTCGGACACCCTGTATATTAAGCTGATAATGTATCAAAAAACTTACCTTTGCAGTTTTCCCTTTTATTTTGACCCCGTGTGTGTTGCGTCCTACACATTTAATTCCAAGGCCTCCTAGATGATGAAACTGAAATATTTCTTCTCGATTTCAGGAATTTCAAAGCTTCCGCTTCGAATAATTTCATGGAATTTGGAACTGGGGTCTTTTAAGGGATGAGGAACAGTGCAGCGTTGCAAGATTTCACATAAAAAAAATTGCTAGGAATCGCAGCAAGCCATGTATGCAAAAAAATGTTCACTAAATTCGCGCAGCTCGGTTAAATTTTACGAGGCTCGTCCTGATCAAACTTGAACACACTGTACATACGTTGCACTTTTCCGCGAAGGATTTTGTCAGGAAATGGGTATTAGGCAAAAAAATTGACAAACTGAAGACAGAAATAAGACTTAATTTATTGTTTTAATGAAATACCTGGAAACGTGAAATCGTTCGGTACATTTCCGAAAAACGTAGAAAAATACTTGTGAAAAAAATAAAAACTGCACATATTTTTGGAAAAGATCACGGAAAACCTTCACTACGATTCACTTTTCTGCTTAGCCAAATTCTCCAATTTATGAACGACCACACTCAAATCGGCGTTCTTCGCCAGCTTCAAGTAAACGCAGTTGCGTATATCGTGAAACACCAGCCACTGGGGCGCCTCCTTCGCGATCAGCTTCAGGTGGTCTTCCATGTCAGTCTTGGTGAGGTGGGCGCGGTAGCAGTTGCCCAACTTTTCCACGACTGTCTCTAAGGGAAGTACGCCCTTTTTCTCCGACACGAAGAGGTTCCTGGTGAGGCGGGCGAGCTCAGGCAGCCGCGAGTACATAAGCACCTCTTTTTCTTTGTCTGCCGACCGCGTCATCGATATGAGGGCTTTGGCCGCCTGCTTCTGCCTTACCCTTTCCAGCAAGGCCTTTGGAATGCCTGCAAACGGGGTAATGACATGTCAATTTAATTAAAAAAAAAAAATTTTTTTCGACTAAAATTGTTTAGTTCAGAAATTATAGCGAGGAGAGTCGATATTTTAGTTTTTTTTTAGTTTTTTTTTAGAAAAGTTTATCTGCCTGCTCTCATAAAAAATAGAAGGATCTTTGGGGCAATAAAAAATAACTAACTTTCCAAATGAAAGACAATAGTATGTCATTGAAAAATTAGTGTAAAGACAAAAGAAAGTGAAAAAGAAATGAGGATGGTTGATAAAATAAGAAGAAAGATAACAAAGTGTATAAATAAAAATTGCATTGCAAAAGTTTCACTAAAAAAACATAAATTTTGATTTTATGTTTCCGATTCGAGGGGTATATGAAAATACAAAACACTTTCTTAAGGTTATCTTTTCAGAATTTTAACGTGTCTTTTCATCTCTCAGCAACCACCACGGTTTCGTTTTCTTAAACACAAACCTATTAATTATTCCCAAATTTAGTTGAAAACCAAATACACAGAACAAAATCGACTCTTACAGTTGCCACACTGGGTATTTTTATTACGTGACCTAATTTTTATCTTCAGTGCGTCTAACATTCTGATATATGTAGCAGAGAATGAACGATTTTCATTATTTTGGCCTGAGTGGCCGTTACTTCCAAGCCATCGACTTGAATTTTCATTATTTCGGCTTGAGTGGCCGTTACTCCCAAGTCGAACACTTGATAAAGCAATATATGTTGCATTTCCCAATAAAAAACACGTGTTTGAAGGAGATCACTACAGAAAACCAAATGCATAAAAGAAATTGTCAATTGTCTCTTACAGTTGCCATACTGGGTATTTTTATTACATAATTATTATTTAATATTTATTTTCCAGTTTTTGTAGCTTTTATTCTAATGTAGATTTTGCTATTAGTTAATTTTTTGATAAATAAACAAGTTTCTGAACCAAAGTAACGAAGAGACAAAAAATAATGTAAATGGCAGCATCCCAGACATTTTATTTGAGGATGTTGATTGATTTCGAAATTAAAATTGTTTAAAAAATTAATACCACCATTTTAAAGAAGTCTTCCAGTATGAAACGTCACTAAACAATAACATATTATAGGTAAGCGTAATTTTCGAGATACAGGGTGTTTAAAATTCATGAAAAGATATAATTTATGTCCAATTGCAAAAAACTGTTGAGAAATCAGGGTTATTTTGAAAATTAATGAAATTACGAAACAAAATCCTACCTTTTAACACTGAAGCTGGCACATCCTTCGGTTTTTCTTCCTTGGTAACGGAACCACCCACTTCCTTGGCCTCCTTCAATTTTTGGAGAGCTTGCTCCATCCTTGCGTTGCAGTTGAACAACTCCCTAGCCTTCTCCAGCACTTCCTTGCCAGTCGTCAATTTGTCTTCCGCGGGCGGTTGAGGTAACGGAGCGAGCTCAACGTCGGGCACCCTTTCGATGTCGAACTCCGGATGCCAACGGGTGATCTTACTTTTATCCAAGACCATCGGCGGATCCAGGGATGCCAGGAACTCGCTATGGTAGTCCTTTACTTTGTCGAGAAGTATATTGAACAGTTTACGCCTCCTTTCTAGGAGGACGTCAGAATTCATGTGTTCCGCATCACCGATGTTCGGCGATACGACCAGCTCCCACTGTTCGTGTTTCATGCCGGCACCGAACACCCTCAGTTTTTCCTGTTTAAAATCGAACGCGTCGGAATAAATGTGTTTTATTTGAGAGACGTGCTTCTCCAACAGGTTCCGCTTTAACATTTCTTCCACTGCGGGTTTAAGTTTCCTGAACGTTATGGTCTCCTTTCGGTTGTATAGTATTTGGGAAACCGTGTCGATGCAACGGAACATTTCGGCTAAGTATCTGTATTTATAAGGTAATTTTAGAGCCGGTTTGGAGGTCTCGTCGAATATCTGCTTAGAAGGACTAGCTGGCAAAGCTGGTACAGCATTTTTAGTCGGACTTAGTAAATGGATGAGGTTACGCCTTGCCGTCGGCTCTTTCTTAGGACTTAGGTAGGCTTTCTCTGGCGAGAATACTTTCTGCGGGCTAGATAGAAATACAACTATAAAACCGTCTTTTCAAAGCTAATAATTTTGGAAATAAGATTTATTTTATCAATTTTATCAATACTTCTAATATCTTTGCATTAATGACTTACTCAAAACCAAAGATATATCATTTCTTGATCAATGTTGATCCATATTTCTCTACTTATGACTTTGAAATTGGGGCCCATTTTAGGCGATTTAGTGATACAACAATAAACAAAACTACTTTGGTTCATAAAAATAGAAAGAATGCAGCACACAACTTACCTAGTATGTACCTCTAATTCAATCGTCTTGAAATTATTTAATTTAGGTGACTCAGGAATCAAGGATGTTTTCTTTTCCAGCACCTTCAATTTATTTGCACCTTCCTGAAACCTATTCATGGATGCCCTCAATTCTGCCAACCGGGCGCTCCTTGTCATCTTCCTTCTGATTTCTTTGAGAGAAGGGCCATCCGGTTTTTCCTTAACTTTATCCATAGCATTGATCGCCTTTTTCGGTGTACTTGGAGGAGTAACATGTTTATCGCTCTCATTAACATGTTTAATACTGTCCACTGTAGTTTGTGGAGGAGTTGTAACAATTGCTTCCTTTTTACTCATATTAGTAAGCAGAAGTTGAATATCTTGGTTATTAGATACTTCTTTAGTCTTCTTAATTCTGGCCCGGATAATTTTTTTAGTTACAATTTTTGCACTTGAATTAACATTAACAATCTTATTAGCTAATAAATATGTTTCTTCCTTGTTTTGTAATTTAACATTGTATTCACTTGATAGCACATCTTCGTTAATTTTATCTTGTGAAATTACTTTCCTGTCTGATTCTAACCCATTTTGTTCTGAAGAAACTAAACTGCCTGAATCAAGCAACAACACTTTCCTAGCACGATTTATTTTGTTTTCTTCGACTGCTGATCGCTTTCTTGTACTAAAAAAGCAGGCGACTGACGGTTGAGCCATGTTTATGTAATTTTATATAAATATAAACAAATTTAAAGGGATTAAATGGCACATCAACCGTTAATTTCCCTCCAAATTCGATTTGTTTGTATACATTTGCGATTGCGCATTCACGTATCAGGTGGTACAACAGAATCAGGTTTGCCAATTCATCATTTTCTTGCTCTACTTTTTGATTTGTTTTTAAACATGGACCTAAATAAACGGGTGCTATTAATTAAATATTTTGTTTGTTGAGATTAAATATTGATAATAACAATAATGTAAAAGTAAACTAAACACTCTAAACTAAGTATCTGCTTTTGCATTTCTTATGTCTAGGTATATAAATTTGATAATTTCTACATAAATCAATTTTATTTATAAAAACCATAAAGCATAAATAGCCTAAATTACCTAAATCCTAATTACTTAGGTAACAAGAGAAAATAAGTACCAAACACACCTAACTAAATATCATAAAATATAGGACATTATATTGTAGTTTCGTCGGCTTTTACTAATGATAATCTATTGCTTTAAATTTATATTTACTTTATTGGTAATTAATTGAATTCATTGGGTTTATAAGTTTCTTAAGAATTTCAGTATTGTCAATTTAAGCACCAATTCAAAATAAATTTAAGTCTAAAAATTATATGAAGTAGATGCAAAATTATCCATTAAATTAGGGTATCATATTGATATTGAAATTGCAGAAATAGTGTACATTAAAAAGTTTAGTGAGAAATAAGGGATATTTTGTAGATGTGCAGATATCGTGATTTCTGAACGTTCTCCAAAAATACGACGCAACTTCCCGGCTCACTGCGCCGCCTGCACGAATTGGGGTTTCTGAGTGAAACTCGGCAGCCATAATCAAACAAAAGTGTTTTCTACGAAATGATGGACATTTGACGTTTTTATTTAGTTTTGCGGTGGTGATTGTTTACAAAAATTATACAAATGAGCGCTAAATTAGACGTAAACAGACGTGTCCTAGCTATCCAAGCTAAAAAGAAGAGACACAAGCCTGGCAAAAAGAAAGGAAAAAACGAAATGAATGGTCACGGTGGAGAAAATCGTAATAATTCGAATTATTCGAAGAATGAACCTTCGCACAGTTCAAGTAATGAAACCATCGAGGATCCGGACGATCCTTATACAAGCGAGGAGGAAGAACAGGAAGATAGCACCGATTATCGTAAGGGAGGTTACCATCCTGTCAAAATCGGCGACCTGTTTCTTAGCCGATATCATGTAACGCGAAAATTAGGTTGGGGTCATTTTTCCACAGTATGGTTGTGTTGGGATCTGGAGGATAAGAGATTTGTGGCTCTAAAGATAGTTAAATCGGCGGATCATTTCACTGAAACAGCGTTGGATGAAATAAAAATACTAAAATCTGTGAGAGAATCAGATCCTTCGGACCCCAAACGAAACAAAACCGTTCAACTCCTAAATGACTTCAAGATAAGTGGCGTGAATGGCGTACATGTCTGTATGGTATTTGAAGTCCTTGGACATCACTTACTGAAACTAATCATCAAATCAAACTACCGAGGTATTCCTCTGTCAAACGTACGTACCATTATGCGTCAAGTTTTAGAAGGATTAGACTATCTACATACCAAGTGCAAAATTATTCACACAGACATAAAACCTGAAAATGTCCTGATATGTATATCAGAAGAAGCTATTCGGCGTTTAGCCTGCGAAGCAGCCGAGATGCACCAACTAGGACTGAAATTGCCAACATCACTCGTAAGCACTGCACCTGTAATGGAACCTCAACAAACCAAGATGAGCAAGAATAAGAAAAAGAAACTGAAGAAGAAAGCCAAAAGGCAGAACGAATTACTTAAACGACAAATGGAACAGATTATCGAAATCGAGGAGCAGAAGAAAGTAAAAGAAAACGGTGATGTAAACATTAACGGTGATAGTAAGTGTAATGGCAACACCCCCAGCCCAGAAACCACTCCAGAAGTCGAGAACAAATTAGCAAACGGTTGTGTAGAAGAACTAGGGGGTGCGGGCGAAGTTCCCCCTTCCGTGTGTGACAATAATGTCAGTGTTGCTGTTGCCGAGCCAGTGATGCACATGTCAGAAGACGACTCGCCTTCCTTAACCTCGAAAAGTGAGAACAAAGTCGAGTTAGACCCTGCCTTCGTACAGTGCGATTTTGAAGTTAAAATCGCCGATCTTGGAAATGCTTGTTGGGTAGACAAACATTTCACGGAAGATATCCAAACTAGGCAGTACCGTTCCCTCGAGGTCCTGCTGGGCTCCGGTTACAACACCTCCGCCGATATATGGAGCACGGCTTGTATGGCGTTCGAATTAGCAACTGGGGATTACTTATTCGAACCGCACTCCGGCGAAGACTACTGCAGAGACGAAGACCACTTAGCACATATAATCGAGTTACTAGGGAATATACCGAGAAGGATCGCCCAGAGTGGCAAGAACTCGAAGCTGTTCTTCAACAAGAAGAACGAGCTACGCCACATCACGGGCTTGAAGCCTTGGGGTTTGGAAGATGTGTTAACCGAGAAATACGACTGGAGCAGACAGGACGCCGAGGACTTTGCCGCTTTCCTGAAGCCCATGTTGGATTTCGATCCCGACAGGCGTGCCACGGCCGCCGAGTGTCTCCAGCATCCGTGGTTGAGCAAGTGAGCCCCCCAGCTCTCTATAGGTGACTGATTTCAATTATCTCCGCTTCTTTTGGCCAAGTAGTGCATCTTAGTACTATCCAAAATTATTTGTACGCATTGATTTCACCGTCTGTAATTTATTTTATCCGGTTCAACAGGGCCTTTATTTAATGTACATAGAATTGTAATAGAGAAATTGTGATGTATGTGTTTAATAGACAATATAAATGTCCTCCTTGGCTGCTGTTTCTGTTAATATTTTTAATATCCGATTAAATTATTTAGACTATTTTATAGGCATATACTTGATATTAGTAGCCAGGGAGTAAGCCGTAGATGAGTCTACCCTGTTCGAGTATTCGAAATGTTAGATCCGACGACCCGCGTCGTCCAGTTCCATACTAGTTAAAGCACCAACATTTGTATTGAAACCATATTAAAGTATACAATGTACATTGAATCTCTAAATGCTAAGTATATATTAAATTCATACACTACGAGTGTTTCATTTAATATCACTGCCATTCCAAGTACCCATGCTTTTAATAGAAAAAAAAAAAGAAAGCTATGTGATATTTTTAATACAATGTATTGCAATAAAATGTGGCTTCGTCAGTTACTTTTATTCTTAATTCATTTCATCTTTTTTTTTTACCTACCTTTCTAATTTTTTATTTCGTGAACGCTGTAACGACAGGTGAATAATCAGTAATGTCTAAATAAAAATATAATTCATGTGTTTGTTAAACTGCATTTTATTTGCATCGGACAGATTACGTTAGAGTTCTACGGGATTTCTTAACGACCAACTTGTAGTTACGAAAAATTAAAAGTAGGGTAAAGGATAGGGTGGTTATAGTAATAGTTTGCAAAAAGCAGTCCTACATGTTATTGTATCACAATGTATGGTTGTTTAAGTATAGTACAATGCATCACTATACTTGGTTGTCCGCGAAAAAGCTATGTACCCGATCGTATATTAACAGCCCATAGTAATTTGTAATTTTTTATCATTCTGTTGAGATTAATTTATTGGAGTTATAATTTAAAAAGGCTGATACTTCAATTTATTATCTGCAGTTCTGTTTATTTTTCGATTGTATCCGAGTTAAACGTTATGGCACTGTTACCGGTAGTTGCATTATCATCCGCCACTATTGTTGCTGCTTTGACTATTGTGTTATTGTTGCCTTGTACTATGCAAGCAAACAAGAGTATAAAACCAATGTACAGCAACTGTTAAGTATTAAGTGCATATTTCATTTAAGTTTCTAGTAATTATTGTAGGGTGTAGGTAATTATTTTTTATATTAAAAATGTATCATGTGGAATTAGAACAATTTTTCTGTTACTGATTATTTACCGTTCTCTTTCAAGCATAACATAGATTTTGTCAATCGCCCAATCATATTTTAAAATATACACACAGAACATTAAAAAAATTTAAGTTTCTCTAGAATTCTTCAGCTTGTTCACGGGTTTCTGTTAAATATTTTAATAAGACATTTTTTTCAGAGGGCGATCACCCCATGTAATATAGTTGAAAACGGAAATTTTTAGTTGAAGAAAAAACAAAAATGATAATATGAGTGATGAATTATATGATACCTTCTTTTTAATGTATTAATTATAAAAATATATTCCTTCAAAAAAAAACGTTTCATATTCTTTAAAAATGAAAAAAATTGTCACCAAGCAAACTTCCGACACCTAGTTTTGACTCTAAGTTCACTTATAGCACATTTAAACATTACAGAATGTTATAAAAATAGCTAAAATGTAGAGGTTTGCCATTTTCCTCCCCTTCGAAGCTGAAAGGTCCAACCTACACAACGACACAAGAGTCACTCCGATCTGACGACCCCTGCACCCAGCAGTCGCTATTGAATATTTGTTATAGTCTTTCCAATATCAATTGATGAACCAAGAGGTTGAGTCATTGAAATATTTGAAAAACTTGTTCCCATATTTATTTAGCCATACCCATATACAGGTCTTGTCGAACTAAACGTGGAGGTGGTAGAACTGTATACGCACAGTTGAAGAATGCGAGCGTGGGCAAAGAAAAACAAACAGCCGCATTGGGCTACTGGGCAATAAATCTCAGCAGTTGGTTGATAAATTGCCCAGCAGTGCAGTGCAGCAATGCGGAATTTGGTGATTCAGGTTATTTAATTTATTATAGGCACCTATCAATCATTCATATTACAATTGCGAAAGGGAGAAATAAGAGGGATATTTTGTTTACTAATATTATTACAACATGGCATTTTGGAGACCTTTTGAAACGGAACAAAACGAAATTTACCACCAATATATTAAAATAGTTTTGAGGACATAAATAATTAAAATATATTGTTGGCCAAATGAACATATAATATATATATTTAATTTATAATATAATTTTTTACCTTTAGCAGAAAACTTTTAAGGACGCCTATGAAACTCATTAAATTTTATTGCTAGGCGTTTTTTACATGTTCTACCGACTTCAGAAAGACTATACACTGAAAATTTATATCCTATACGTTTTCCTAACACCTCTAGCTTAAACATTTCCAATAGTAAAAAATACAAACCATTAATAGAGGAAGGATAACGAATAATATTTTATGACAGTTATATTTACTTTAAATGTGCAAATGATTAAAATGGTATCAGCAATAGGCAGATAAAATATATTTGTCCTATGACCTATTCGATTTTTCCTAATTTAAAGCATTTTCTTTTTACTCTACAAAACTTTGAAATTGGGCCAGTTAGGTCCTGCACAAACTATAACGATAAGTAAATAATTTTTGATCTAAGTGTATTTTTTTAAATATTACTACCACATTTGTTGTAAACTTGAATTGATAAGTGTATATAAATAAGTGCGGATACATTAGATTATCAAAATAAGTGTAGAAGTGTTTTTAACATCGACAAATTGTATTTCACGATGAAAAATTTGAAAATAGCTGTGGTCGGAGCAGGTGTGGTGGGTATAACCACGGCGGTGGAACTACAAAAGCTTTTTAGAAATGCAGATATCGATATCGTCGCGGATAAATTCGATGTCGATACCCTGAGCTTTGTTGCTGCTGGTATTTTCCGACCAGGAACTAGTTTTACAGGACCAAACGAGGATATTACACGGTAAATTAGTGATCTCATTAGGTTTATTTAACTTTTTTAACGGCACGTTAAAAACCACATTAAAATTACGAAAAAAAAAACGGTGGCAGAGGTTAATTAGAGGTTAGATTATTGAACAGTGCCGTACTCAAAATAATTTTAGGAATCGCTCAGAGTAATTAATGTTAGATTTTTAAAACGTATTGATGTCTCTAAAAAGTCAAAATCTACATTTTTGCTTGACATCATCTGAACGTATTACATAATACCATTAATTTTCATGATACTTAGTACATTTACACTGTAAATAGATTTGAAAAATGAAAAGTCAAGTTACAAAATGCTTATTTAAATATATTTACCTACCTTTTGAATTGGTATAAATAAAGTGCTTCTTCCCATGAATCAAGTTGCATTGTGTTAAATACAATACCATTTATTGCAATTGAACTCCACCTTTTAAACATATATAGGTAGGCCTTGTACTTTATTTATTTATCGTTCGATTTATTCATTCAATGTGATGTGGCGCCATCGCCAATCAGATATTAGATTTTTTTTAAATAGACCAATAATAAAAAAGACACGGACATACACCAAAATTGCTAGTTAACAATGATTTTTACATTAGATAATTTTTTTATGTAACAATGAAACTTTTGACCCTGTTTTATAACTAAATATTTTAGGAAATGGATTAACGACTCCTACCATTATTGGGACAATATAAAAAATTCCAGGGAAGCTTCTAATGCAGGCGTTGCTGAAGTTTCTGGATATATCTTTTCCAGCGAATATCCACAAATTGTCAGGGCAAGTATATAAAAATATTTGTCAAAAATTAGACGATTTTACTCTTAAAAATGCAAAAGCAGTGATGCTGAAATATGTCTTGCTTTTCTAGTATAGTACCATTGTATAAGTAAATAATGATAGTACCTATAATAGTACCTACCAGTTAGTAGGTCTGATAGGTCACTCTGTCTGTCAGTAGATCTAGATACAAACACTTTGTGCCATCCCAGTAGGCATGGACAATGACAATTATTAAGATATGATTTTATAGGTTATGTCTGACCCACAAATTTTTTATTTCATATTCATACGAAATTTTGTAATCTAAAACACAATTTTGTAACATAAATATCAGAAATGTATAGGTACATCAAATTCTCTACGCTGTAAGCTATATCTATATAAAACATATTTTTTTTAGAATGAGTTCATCGAAAAGCTAGTACCTATTTATAGGACAGCTACAGAAGACGAACTACGGCTATGCCCAGGGAAATGGAAGTACGGTTCATATTTTACAACCATCCTTTCTCAGTGCAGCTTGTATTTGCCTTGGTGTTACTCTAATTTTAAAAACGCGGGTGGTAAAATAATAGAAAGGAACATCGACAACTTGTCATCTCTTGGATCGGAATACGATGTGGTGGTCAACTGCACAGGCTTAGGAGCCAAATATCTATGTAAAGACAGAAAACTGGTACCGATAAGGGGGCAAGTGTTAAAGGTAGGTCTATAGATTGCATCCGATACGATTTCACTAATAAAATTGAAATGTATTGAAAAATCATGTCCCAACGTAAACGTTTTCTTAAATTTAATAGAGAAAGTAACATTTTTTGACATTGACATTTGATTTTTTTAAATTCCAGGTTATTTTCTTGCAATGTAACAGGCTGTTATCATATATTCTTAGGTGGAAGCACCTTGGGTGAAAACATTCTTCTACGGAGACTACGACACTTACGTTATCCCCTGTTTCGACTCCGTCACCCTCGGAGGATGCAGACAGTACGACTCCTACGACTGCACAGTCAATAAATACGACGGCCTTTCTATTAAAGAGAGATGTGAAAGTTTAGTACCGAGCTTACGCAATGCAAAGGTCATCGCTCAGCGCGTTGGGCTTCGACCCCACAGAGATCCCGTGAGGGTGGAGAAGGAAATACTGTATAACAACGGCAACAAAGTTAGAATTGTTCATAACTACGGGCACGGGGGTTACGGAATAACGACGGCTCCCGGGACATCGCTTTACGCCTGCGAGTTGGTTAGGGAGATTTTAATGGGAAACAGTAAATTGTAAATGTATTTGTCAGAAGATGTATGTTTGTCTGAACTTGAAAGATTTTGTCTATTAAATGCAGAATATTCGCATTTTTGGTTTCTTGTTTTTATCCTTGCACTTTCTAGTAGTTATTTTCATTTTTTTTTAAGTATTCCAGCTTTGATTGAACAATTTGGTGTTGAAAATAGCTGATATTTACAGTATTTTTATGATATTAGTACTCGGTGAATGTTATCAAAATGCTGCCACGGCACCGCAATTGTCTGCCGAGCATTATTTGATGAAGTCTTAATTTCTTGAGTTCCATGTCGTGTTCCAACAAAAAGAATTTATGAAACACCCTGTTTATAAAATAAAGGTTACGTTACAATATACTAAATTTTTTTACAATCAAATCCGGTTCGAAGGACCAAAATTTTTTATTTTCGGGCTGTGCTTTTAACTTTATCATAATTTTTTTGTGCAAAATTGTTATTTGATGAAGTTGTTACTCTCTTGAGTTCCATGTCGTGTTACAACAAAAACAATTTATAAAACACCTCGTTTATAACATAAAGGTTACGTTACAATATGCTAAATATTTTTACAATCAAATTCGGCTCGAAGGACCAAATATTTTTATTTCCGGTCTGTTTGCTTTAACTTTATCATAACTTTTTTGCGCAAAATTGTTATTTGTAGAAGTTCTTACTTTCTCGAGTTCCATGTCGTGTTACAACAAAGACTATTTATAAAACACCCTGTTTATAAAATAAAGGTTACGTTACAATATGCTAAATATTTCTTCAATCAAATCCAGCTCGAAGGACCCAAAATTTTTATTTCCGCACCGTTTGCTTTAACTTTTATCATAATTTTTTTGTGCAAAATTGTTATTTGATGAAGTTTCTACTTTCTTGAGTTCCATGTCGTGTTACAACTAAAATTATTTATAAAACACCCTGTTTATAAATTAAAAGTTACTGTACAATATGCTAAATTTTCCTTCAATCAAATCTGGCTCGAAGGACCAAATATTTTTATTTCTGGCCTGTTTGCTTTAACTTTATCATAATTTTTTTGCGCAAAATTGTTATTTGATGAAGTTCTTACTTTCTTGAGTTCCATGTCGTGTTACAACAAAAACAATTTATAAAACACCCCGTTTATAACATAACGGTTACGTTACAATATGCTAAATTTTTTTACAGTCAAATCTGGCTCGAAGGACCAAATATTTATATTTTCGGACTGTTTGCTTTAACTTTATCATATTTTTTTTACGTATTTGGTTGTAAAATAAATTTTGCACATTTAATAACTTGCGTTTTACACGTAATTAAAATAAACGAAAGGACGAAACGTTCTGCGTCTTTTCAATTTCTGAAGAAAAGACGTGTATAATATACCTAAAAATTTTATTTAGTTATTAAAAAATATAATTTAAGTACATACAATAAATCTCTTACATATTCAACTTCATAATAATATCAATAAATCATAATTTAAAAAAATATCTCACAACCAGCATGCATAGTTATCTAAGTGGTGCAAATATCGTGAAAAATATAAAGGCACAAGGAAAAATACTAATCTCTATTCACTACATCGAGACGGTAAATGAAAGTTGGTACATGGGCATCTGATTGGTACAGTGCACCACATTTCTGCCGTCATTTCGTTAGAAACTGAAACACATTTTTTAGATCGGTGGAAAAAGATAATTGGCTCTACTTTGCACTTGATTTTCAAATGAGGTCCAATATTTATTTTTTTTCGATCCCGCAGTAGAAAATTTTTTATCCAAGTCAAACCCGTCATTTACTTTCACGACGTAACGAACGAGGTGTGGAACATACAACAAAACGATTACTTCTTCTTAAAAATACCTTGTAAATTAGGTAGACTATTTGGTTTCGAAATGGTAGGTTTGTTAAATATTTTGCTTACTTTCTGCCTCATTTCCTCCACTCCCTGGTTGACGTTCTGGCTGAGGCTTTGATTGCGGTCCACCGGGACGGGTAAATCAACCTTATTATCACATTCCTTTATCATCGACGACACGGTTTCGCGGTGAACGTGCAACGTCTGGTTCTCCGTCACCACCGTCTCTAAACACCTGCAATTAACGATAGCTTCGTTCACGGTAATCGTCCCGGACTAGTTCCGGATGAGATTAAGTGCTGACGGCGCTTACGTTCAACACTTGAACTCATCCGGGATCGTTGACGTGGCAAAGCTATTACCTGAAAAGAATTTTCTATTTAGATTTACTCACCTCAGTCCGGGCACTACCACCGAGCTGATACTCTGCTTGTTCAACGGACTGTAAACCACATTCGTAAACGCTTCTAAGAGAGCTAAAGCCATATCTATTTTTCGAGTGTGATTCGACATTTGAGACATAAAAGACGATAAAGCGGTTAGCTGCGGTAGAATAACTGCAATAAAAAGAAAATGGCGTGATACTAGACGGCGGCACTTCCAAAAAATCGCTCTTACAGCTGACGTACTGGGTATTTTTATTATATCACAAATTTTTTATGTTCCCAATAACGTAATTCCGGAATATATGTAGTTACCTTCATTCCGAAAAGACGGGGTGCAGCTATTGACTATGTTTCCTAATGTGACGATTAGCTGCCTTAAGAGGGTGTGATTTTCCCTTAAACTAGAATCGGAGAGGTACGTTTGGAGTTGCATGTAGGCTTTGTCATGAATTTCTTTGACGGTACAGTCGGTAATGAGGTTTCCCAATGCTGGGATCGTCGCAGTTCGGACCAAGCTGAAAATTCATTCTCGTAAAATTAAAACAAAAAAAAACGATTATATTCACTTCTGTTTTTAATAAAATTTATTTACTTTCGTTAATGCCGCAAGTAAAGAGGGCTCTATGGCAAGTAGCCAACCAGCAGTACATTTTTATAGATTTTATTACACGGGTTGTCTAAATATGAATTAATGCACAAATAGGAGACTTTCCTCCATTCTAACGCATATTTTCTATAAAATGGAGTTAGTTTGAAACTCAAATTACGTTTTGCTGTAAAGAAATTTGTAATTTGCACCGTAAATTACAAATTTCTCTACACCAAAATGTTATATGAGTTTTAAACTAAGTCCATTTTATAGAAAACCTGTGTTAAAATGGGGGAAAGCCTGTTATTTGTGCATTTACTCATGTTTAGACAAACTGTGAAATAAAATCTATAAAAATGTATTGCCGGTTGGCTATTTGCTATAGAGCCCTCTTATAGCACTGTGTTTAGTTTGTGAATCCTAGTGTCAGTAAAAAGAAATAGTTTTTACAATGGAAATTGAGAAAACAAATTTAAAACGTGTTTTTCCAAAGATCCGAGGTGGCTTCAATATAAACATGACCCCTTTACGCCCCCTATTTTCTAATCATCGTAATTCAGGTTAAAATTCATATCGACTACTTACACATCGTTATCACTCGCAAGCGTAACCAGCGCTCCTGTCACCTTGGACTTGAGCAGTTCGTTGCCGCACATCCCGATGATCCCCGAGAACAAAGTAGCGGCGGCCGCCTTAACCAACGGTCTCTGGTGCACCACCCCGGACCAGAGACAGTCGACCACGGTCTCTTGCAGTCCGCTCTCGCACAGCCTGCGAACGGTAACCTCTAAACAGTCCAGCGGCGAGCCGCACAGTGGCAAAGCGCACAAGAATTTTGTGAGTACGCCGGACAACTCCTCGATGTCGCCGCAGTACGTGAGGACGATCAGATAAATGGGGATCACGTTGAGACTCGGGCAGAACTGGTTGAAACTACTTATGACCTGTTCCAAGCTTTGTATTTTGTTGTGGAGGATCGGACGGATTTTGTATTTCGAGAAACTTCTGCCGAACACGATGCAAGTGCGGGAGAGGAGATTCATGAGGCTCTGGAGCAAGGACTGTTGCGTTATTTCGACGTGGTGGAGGTTGTTGAATAAGTCTGGTAGCCTGCAAAACGAATAATGGTATAAAACTTTGTCTGGCGTTTTATACGGGTTCTTACATCACGTCAACCACCCAGTCCATTTCGCCCCAGGTCATGTTGGGGTTATCGGAGATGTATTTGTCGAATTCGTATAGTATCATTCCGCAGTTGACGTCGGATTTGTGAAATTTTTCGGGATTCGTCAGATTGGTGCACAAGGTTTTTAGCTCGGGTCCTAAAAATTGTACACTGAACACAAAAATTCAAAGAAATTAAAAAACGACTCACGCAGTTCCACAGCCATATCTTTCTCGATATTCGACATAATATTTTCGTGAGACGCCACCAGCATCAACAAGAACGGGAGCAAGTTTTCGATAACGTTAATAATACGGAGTATTTTGTCAGAAGCTATGTTGATTTTATTCGGAGATTCCGTATCCTTTATGTAATAGTTTAATTTGTGCAACAACTTCTTCAACAAGCTAGAGGTCAGAAAACCTAGAAAATTTCAGTTAAATACATTAGATTTCCGTCGTTTTACGTTTTTATCGATGCATTTATTTTCAAAACCAAACAAAAGGTTGATTATTTTTTCGAATCTCTCCTCACCTTCGCTTAACGCCCACCTCCCAATCACCGGAAACAATATTTGAATGTCTAAGTTGACGACGCTCTTACTGGAGTCGTTCAAAGTGCTCAATGCGAGCTGTTCGATCTGATAATATTTGTCACGATCGTTACACATACACGCCAGTATAGACAGAGCTCTAACGACAGTTTCTCGAACGGTTTCTTCTTTGTCCTCCAACATTTGTTGCAGCATTGACAGACACAGGGAATTACGTATCGGTTCCTTAGAAAAATACCACAATATTAATGATAAAGCTTATACTGGGTGTAACCTAAAGGTCGGGAACAAATTAAAAGGTGGATTTTTTGGTTTAAAAAATAAATTTTTCTCATATGAAGTTATGCTCTAGGGAAAAACTTGATTATTTTGCCTTTTTTTCATCAATTATTGCTATTTTGCAACATTGGTAATAAATTTAAACATTTTTAACTTGCAGTATACTGTGCAAAATTCAATTCTAAAACTTTTTTTCGTCTTCAATATTCTTCCAAAATGCATAGGTTCCAAGATATAAGTAAAAAATTAAAATAGGTATTTTTTAAAATTTTTTAAACAATTTTGAAATTTTGAAAATGTTTCGGACCTCACCCAGATCTAGTTTAGCTTGCCCCCTCTTACATCCAAGTGAGATATTTCGACAGATCCGGTCTGGTCTAAAAAGGTACAAAACAGGTGATTGTTTTTTTATCACTAATATGCACCACCCCAACTCTACCATTGACTCTTCCACCTAACCTCAAATTACCGATTGCAATTACTGTGAAGTATAATATACACGTATCACACTCGACAATTATATATAAAATCATTTGAAATAACGTTTTAAAATATAATTAGCCTTATAATATTTACCGAAATTATGATGGAGATATCCACTGTTATTCACAATTTGATACCATAGAGAAAAAAAAAAATAGATTAACAAGGCAATGATTCTTCCGCTGTGAGACTTTATATTATAGTCGGTAATAAACCACCTTTTTATAAGAACTTCGTCATTAATTTCAGACAGAATCTGTCATTAAAGTTTCATACACACTTTTGTCGTACTTACCGAAATATATACCATCAACGCTATGCACGCCTCGGCGACCAGGAGTCTCCTCTCGGTGTGCTTGTGTGTCAACTGCAACCAGCACTGCGGCAGGATCTCGTTCTCGACTAAGCTCTCTCCTGAGCATTTCGCTATACCGATTAGACCTAAAATACACGTATTTACTTTTCCATCACACCGACCACCCGGGGTTAGGTACCAGCATGGAAATTCCGCCACCAGGGAATACGGATTCAGAACATAATGTATTGGGAAAGAACACTACATTAAAGAGGCCTACGCATCGCTACCACCTTCTCCCATAAAGCAACAAAATAGGTTAGCCATAAATATAAACTCTTTTTTATTATAAAGTATCGTAAACTGTAAACATTCAGTGCAATTATAGTGTTTTATGTCTTTACTTCGAAGTCTATTCACAAACTGTAATAGTATACGGGGAACGTTGTCAACATGCAGCCACAGCGTCACAATCGTACACCGAGCATTGTATTGAAGCTATTTTAAAACATGATTCGATATAGAATTAAACGAACTTATTCCCGAGTAGTGACGGTAAGTAATAAAATTAAATTAACCAAAACAAAGCAATAGAGCAGCTACATTAGATAACGTAGTTAGGTTACCTGCTAAAATCATATTGCGTTCGGGTTCCGAAGGTTTCTTCTTGAGATTAAAGAGTTGCTGCAACAATTTATCCCTCTCCGATGCCTTTGGATTCAGATGCACCGTCGTAATAAGTAACGGAATCACTTCCTCCCTCTTATTCAATATAATGTTCGGTATAATCCGCAGCAACGACGAAGATACTAAGTGCACGAATTTTTCACTGGTTATATCTTCGTTGAACACCCCATCCATGATTTCGTTGTCTACTTTATGGGGCGCGTTCACGTAGCATAAGGAAAACACTTCTCTAACAAATGTTTCCTTGCTGGAAACAATGTAACTGTAACAACCACTGATAAACTTTTAATTAATGGTACGAACCTTGTGTTTAATTCTAAGTCCCTTAGTTTACATTCTCCGGTAGTATCACAATCTCTATTATCTACGGGAATGCTTAGGTTCATCCAGTCGCTGGCGTTAAAACTGCTGTTTGATATGTTGTCCTCCTTAAATATCGACATGTTCTTATCGATAATTTCAAACCTATCAGGGGACTCGCTGCCCGCCGAGCCCTTGTTGGTTCCCCTTTCTTCGGGGAGCGGAATGTGAGATTCTGTCATGTTTTCGTTAGATACCATCAACTGACTAGAAAGTTGCTTGAGCTCTTCTTGCAATTTCAAATTATTGTAGTTTAACTTGGAATTTTCAAGCTCTAAGTTGTACGTTTTTTCTTTAAGTTCTTCCAACTCTTTCGACTGAAAAAATAAAACAGAGCTAGATAAAATTGAAGTGAGGTATAACTTTTTACCATTTCATTAATGATCTCCTTTGTTTCATCATTATTTTCTGTCTGTGTAGACTCAGAATTGTTATTCTGCCCGGTTTGTTTGAGCCCTTCCCTGTACAAAGCAAGCAATTCAGGAGGTTTGGAAATGTTTAAACCAACGTCATCCCAATCATCAAAATCCTAAAAATAATTGCAAGAAGACAAATCACAGCACAATATTTACTTACCTGGCTCTCGTTCTCATCGGCAAATGTGATGGACGTTAATTTATATCCATGGATTAACAAATACTCATTGATAAGAAAATTAAGTGCTCTCTGTTCATGAGGTTTTATATTACCTACATTAAGGTTTCTTAAAGAACCCTTAGCAGGCGAGCTTGTCTCAGATTCTGCAAAAATCACATTTTTGTAAAACGATTTTCACTTACGATCAAAACTGCATACCTGTGGCTACCGTTAAATTATTTCTAAGAGCATTGATGGTCTCTTTTGCCTTACGCAGTTCAAATTCCAACACTGCGACTCTTTCGTCCGTTCCACCACCATCTTCAGAGTATCTAGTTAAATCTAAACTATCGAGAGTAACTTGGCTACCAGATCTTGCTATAAAAAAGATTCATGAAGTGCAATCATCTATTTAACTTGTTATTCATATTAATATTAAATAATTAATGTTTCTATGATGAATTAGTGACATCTTTGGAAGTAAATATCGGTACTTACACAAACGGGATGAGATTTCTTGGGTTTGCAGTTCAAAATTCCCAGGATTCGAGAAAAAGTCTTTAAGTTGTTTTAATTCTCTACCCGATTCTACTAATTCCGTGTGAAGTTCCAGTGCAGTAAGCAAAAGCTTGTCTTGCAATAATTTAGATGCTATGTCATTGTACGTAAAATTTTTGGGTGGTATTTGGGATTTATTGTCATTTTCTTTTATTGTATGTGACATTTTTACATATCACTGTGTCAATAACTTTCTCGGAAATTTTCAAACATGGTAAAAACATTTGTAAATATACAATACAATGTACGTCAAATAAAATGACAAGAAACTGACAGATGTCAAGTACGAACCCTTCTTCTCCTTCTGATTTCAAATCTCAAACATTTCATAACTGCAGCCCATTAGGTAACGTCCATCATATTCTATATTTTCAATTAAACTAGAGTGAAAAATAATTTTTAATACGGAAAATGTTGGTTTATAGTTCCGAAATGTCGTGAACAAGTGTTGAATTGTTGTAATAGATACCATATTCTGCCTAAAATGTTAAAATCTTAACCTCACTTTTTATAACCTCACTGCTTCTGATAAATTTACCGACATCACTCATTACTTTAATCCTGATTTACTAAGGGTCATATAGATATTACCCAGTAAAACAAATATTTATGATTTATAATAAAAATACCTGGGGACTTAGGCATATGACTTTATTTATATTCTTACTCTTCTAGTATTTGTACAGTGCATATATACAAAACAATATTACTACGTGTTTTATAAAGTTAACCGTAATATAACTGTATACACCGAAGTTTAATTTACAAACAAACTATATAGAAATCATATAAAATCTGTATTACAATTCTAACTATATGCATGTAGCACCATCACATTTATGTATTTTTAAATTATCTAAAAAATCACTTAGTGAGTCCGTTTTGCCACTCATCCTTAAAGCATGGCGAGAATTCTTGTAAAACCCATGCAACCTGTGATGACTGTCTGACCGCAGCCCCAAAAAAGGGCATAAAGCGGATTCATTGGTAAACTCGATGCTCTGTATACGAAAGCGATAGCGGCGCTGCTTACAATCCCTGTTACAGCGGGTGTTATCACGCCCATGAGTAATATTGCGATCGGGAAAAATTTACCAAATTTATGTTTCCTTAAAGTTAAGAATGCAATTAATCCTGCAATCTGCAAAATAAAAAATCATATTATTTATGTTCTAAACATAAATAATAATAAAGTAATAGGTTGCAACTTACTAAAAACAGAATTAAAAATACTTTTATAATAATCATACATTTAAATAGTAGGATTTTAATGTAAAGCTAGTTTGAATGGTCTACATTTTAATTTTGTTAAAAATTATTTAAAAATTGATACTACTTTAAATAACACTGACCTATATGAGTATGAATACAATAAAAATTATTTAATGTGTACTGTACAAAAGAAAGTAGTTTACATACCGTATGCACTAATATAGATGAAAACAAGGCCCATAGGAAGACGTGGTACCACATCTTGGAGAAAGTATTGAGCACTTCGGCCTGTTGTGGCCAAAGGCCCGGGTTAACAGAATCCAAATCGGGGCCTTTGGACATTTTTTTCTTAAATCTATTATATAAATTTATGTAATACTATCCGTTTCATAGTTGGGTTCTTCCATTGTGAACCACTCAAGTCAACCTCACCCTTCCAACTTAATAATTTATGTCTAATCGTTTATCATATTTAATATTATTGCTATTTAATATCTTACTGATGCATTCACCACTGAACTGCTACAGTACTCATTAAACATTTTAAAATATCTAGAGTATTAATACATTTGTTTAAAAAACTATGTTGTCAGTTTGACAGCAAATTTACATAAATTGGAAGCAGGGTTGCCATCAACAATGCCAACTGTTTAAAAATAATATCGCCATATTTTACCAAAAGAAGCGCTAAAAAGCGACAATTTGAATTTCTAGCATTCTTAAATAGACCATTTCTTTTTTATGTTCAAGATCTAAAGAAATTATCTATCAATCTAACAGGAATTATTGCACAAAAAAGGATGATTAGGTCTATTGCTGGAATATCTGCTATGGCATTATGTAGACCTTTTTTGTATTTATGTATTTAACAATGTGCGCTCATTTATTAATATAAATGAAGATATTCACAGTCATAATAAACGTCATAAACATTACTTTTATATTTCATGTAACTAAAAAATCTCCAAATTACATCGAGCTACAAATGTTTAATCGTGTCACAGATCCACGGATTTCTTAAATTTAATTTAAGAAATCCGTGCCCAGATAATTTAAAATCGGTACAAAATATTAGTTCAAAAAGAATTTAAAAACTTAACTCGTAGATAAGGCTTTTATTCACTGGCAGAGTACATGTATGTACATACAGTCATGGGCCTGTATCAGGCACAAGCCAGTTCTAGGCTTTGTAAACTATCTTTCATTCGACACTAAATAGAAAAATCAAAAGGATTGAAGTCCGGCTTTCTGGGTGGCCAAGCAAAAATGCTTCCACGGCCAATCCAGCTATTTGGAGAAACTGCATCTAAATATGCACGCACTGGCCGAGAAAAATGCGGTGGAGCTCCGTCGTGCAAGAACCACATGTCTCTTCTTAAATAAAGTAGAACTTCTTCAAGCCGTGGAAGCATTTTTGCGTTTCTTTTTTACGGAACGTGGCTCTACCTTTGTATTTAATCTATGGCTCTACCCATCGATCTTGTAGTCCTAGATACTGCATAGGCCCAATTTGTTTTGTTCAAGGGGGGTATTTTAAGGTACTTTACTTTTGATTGGCTGCTTATTCGGGCATGCTCGACATTATTTGTTTACATCATAGATTCATAGAAAATATATTCTAATTAATGACTTATCTATTTGTCTTGAGTTTTACTTACAAATTTTGTTGTGTTTTATAAATGTTTTGAGTGTGTGAAGTGATTTTGTGACAGTTATTAATACCATATTATAATTAATAACTATGGGAAAGAGGATCGGCCATATTGTTTTCATACGTTAAGTTTTGTACATGGGCGTAGATTCTTTTAGGTGTAACGCACCTTGGGAATACTATTGAACAATAATATAATTTATTTACGATACTAAATGATCTGTTTAATGAGCATCCAATACAATTAGTAAAACTAATTTTAAAAAATTATTTCAAGATTAGAGTGCATCACGAGACATTTAAGTTAAAAGATAATGTACAAAACAGAGTCAGAAGCTTACTGACAAAAACAATTTTATTTAAAAATCAATAAACAAATTTTGTATTGATATTGTCACAGTATTAATTCCAATTAGAATTATTCAATACTGTAGGTACTAATATATTTATTTTATTTTGTTAATACTTTTATAATATACCTACAATAACTTATATACGTAGTTTATATCCTTTATTTTGTTATTTATTCATTACTTTATTTTAATAGTAGTTCTTAACAATTAATAAAAGTTTTATCTTAATAGGTATATTTTATGATTTATGACACTAATTTCCTTAAAAGCGAGATGTTGGAAGAGCACTGTAAACTTTAACTTTACATTACCATCAAATTTCAAAACTATAGTTACTCACATCAGTCTCAGAAACCGTCTGCTACAAAAAATGCTTTTTGAAAAACATATATTAATAAAAGTAGGGCGAGATACAGTACATATTTTAACATAATATACGAGTATACTATGTAAACTTAGATGTTCATAAATTAGTCATCAGTAAATAACTATACTAAAATAGTCAAATGAAGATTTAGTCATTCCGTAATTTCCCCCCATAACAAGAATTGTACACTATATTGTATGAGTGAATTAAATTTTTACAAAAACTGATTTTGCTACAGTTCCTAAACCCCATATTATTTGAAAAAATATATATATTTTTCTAACCACAGCCTTTATTATGTCAAGATGTACTGCTTTAAAATTAAGTTTGACTCAATTATTTCTTAAGATAAAACTTCTTGCATTTAATATTAAATTGTAATTAAAATCCCTAATGAACCAATCTAATGTACTACGCCGCTGGTGTATAGTACTAACGCCAAATGTTTACTCCCCGCCTCATCCCGCAGAGCTCCAAGTCTACGACTTTACGTATCAAAACAACCTCAATACTGTTAGATACCCCATGCCGTATCTAGTACTACAAGATCGATGGCTCTACCCTTCATTCTATGCTGTCAAATCATTTAATAATCTGTGGTTCTGTGATGCTAAAATGTGAGATTGAGGATAGTATTGTGCTATGGGTATTGTATTTTAATCAATTGAGAAAGAACTATCGTTCTCAGAAATTTTTCAAGCGAAATTTGTGTACATAAGCATTTTTCCAAAGTAATTTTAATAATCGAAATAAATATATGTCACATAACCTTCAACATCGTTGAAATCTGAAGTATGAATATTGATTTACCTGATGATAGTGATACCAGTGATGAAGATTATGTCCCCAGTACAAAAGAAGATGTACCATCAGAAGTTGATTCAGACGGAGAACCAGAGGAGTCTATATCGGATTCAGAAAATACTGAGAAAAGGGGCCAGAAAAGGAAGAAAAAGACGTCCAAAGTAAAAAACAAATTAAAGAATACCTCTCGACAATCAGACGCCAGTAGGTATTATTTTATTTTTATTTATTTTGTATCATAAGAATTAATTCCGGAGTACGCCTTTTTAAATTAAATTAAATAATTTTTACAACTCATTCAAAAATGCCCCTTTCCTTAAATTCTTAAGTATATCCATAGTTCAAGGAGACATCAATTCACATAATTTCTCATTGAATTTTTACACTGTCCATCTATATATTAAATTACAGCTACAAATATTTATGTTGTCAGTGTAATTTATTGCTAAAAATTACAGGTAAATCTAAAGATGATGAGCATAAACCAGAAGAAAAAGGTGATAAAAAGCAAAATGTAGACGATATTTGGGCAGATTTTATGAAAGACACTGGTTTCAGGCCAAAGAATAGTAAAACTGACACTAACTTAGGCAGTTCGAGTACTCGAGTAAATCAAGCAAATAACAGTAAAACAAACGATTCTTCAAGAAACATAGAGGAAAAACAATCAATACAAAAACCTGTCGAGAAAGTGAAGATCACACAAGTATTTGAATTTGCCGGGGAAGAAGTAAAAGTTGAGAAAGAAGTGGCTGCTAATTCGGCAGAAGCTCGTTTATTGAACAAGGTACCCGATACAGACCCCAAGACGAGCAGAGGGAGGAAAGGGGCGGGGCTCAGCGGTATAAGTGGCGTTTTGAGCCAGCTAGGTAAGAAACCTAAAATAAGTACTTTGGAGAAAAGTAAGTTGGATTGGGACAAATATAAGAAGGAGGAAAATATCGAGGAGGAACTGCAGACGTATAACAAGGGAAAAGATGGGTATGTAATTCATTTCCTTAGTTTTTTAAAATGTCTCGTAACTATTTCCGTTTTTGGACCGCCAAACGAAGTAAAGGTTTTTTTTCCCCATTAGATGTTCACAGATAAGCTAATAATTAATTATTACTAGTCAGAAAATAAATAATATTTGATTAATGGAAGAAACATACCTGTTGAAAGCATTACGTTAAATAATGCTAACTTTTAAAAGAAAATGTTCTTTTTTTTCAACTGTTTTGACAATTAGGGCTTAATTGTCATTGATACTTGATGCCTACTGTTGTAAAGCATTGTTTTGTACCTACTAGCAAACGACCTACTAGTATGTAGGCACTATATATATGTCTGTTCATTTGTTTTATTGGAAAAGCAACTTGATTTTAATATCAGTCGTTGTGTTTCGAGCAAGACAGAAGAACGGATCATTTTTAAAGCTCGACTAGCATCGCATTAGGGGAAATAAACTTTTTAACTAAACGTACGTTACGTAGACGTAAAAATATTTTGTGCCTTGTCGTTTTAGGTTTCTGGACAGACAGGACTTCCTGCAGAGGGCGGATCTGAGGAGGTTTGAGATCGAAAAGGACATACGTACGGTGGAACGAAATAAAAGATTTAACAGTACACTTTAATGATTTAACAAATATTATGTTATTATAACTCAGTATTTCGATGTATTTATTTTTTTACATTCCCAACATTGATTTTTATAATTTTTAAACCAATATTTATTTAAGCTCGCCTTGTGTTTTTATTAATTCTTCGAGATCACATTTTAAGAAAAAAGGTAAGAAAATGCTTAATAACAATAATAAAACTGGTGGGAGTTTGTACATTTTAATTTTATTGAATATTGAAGTAAAAATTAATGTTAATCGTACACTGTATTCCCGGCAATTACAAATAAAGAAATATCACGAGAAAAATTTTCATATCAATAAAAATTACATTCAGTGTTCTTTTATAAAATTGAATGTTTAATACAAAGGTGAGTCTATACAGAAAATATGCAATTTTAACAGTAGTGTTGCAAGTACAACTGTTTTGTTGCTTCGTCATCAAATTTTGTCCACTGACGTGTAAACACATTTGGGCCCGTCTTACCCAGCTCCTATGTCTTGCTTCACCATAAATTAAAACGATATCCATCAACTCCGAGTGGCTATCCACGTAAGCCACTTTGAAACTTGAAAAACTAATGTAAACACTATCGCAAAAATGTTAATAATAAAATCGGACTTGCCCGAGGCCACGTGAATAGAGAGCGAATTGTGTACAGCACACAACGCGACTGTCGCTAGAGGTTACAGTAGCCAAGCAATGTAAGGGTTTCAAGTACTACAACTTCAATAATTTTCTTTTTGTCGGAAACAGAATTTTACAAAAAAATTTTTTATGATATCGACTCCATTTTTCATGACTTCTATTCCGAAATTGTTTTGGATAATATGAATCACGTTTCGATATGGATAAAAGAAAAAAATTATGTCAAACTTTGTCACTCGTTGATATGGGTCACTACACGAAAATAAAATGAAAATGTTTCACTCGAGCTATGTAACGTATTAAACGTTTCTCTGAAAGGATTTTGTTTGGTTGGACTTTCTATCAGTGTAAAAAACACGACTAAAATTCACCTTTCATTGATGCATGTAGCTCACAGACTTGCAAATACAAGCATTTATTGGCCCTTTAAAAAAACTAACGACTCATTTTTGACAGAACAACAGCCCAGGCATAGTAAAAGAAATACAAGGAAAATGAGACGTTTTTAAGTTTATTTTGATATACAGAACAGTTAAATTATTATTAAATTTCTTAGTGACGCTACTGATTATACACACAAACGTCAAACTACGTTTTGTAATGGTAGAATTATAGTTCTTCAAAAGAGATCATTGTTTAAATACATACACAATATTTAAACAAAGGTATATTTCAGTCGATTGTATACAAAAATTGTAAACTTGTGTTATTTAAATCAATTTTTCTAGTAAGTCGGTCGTCTGGGCCCATCTCCCAACTACGATCACCCAACAATGTTATAAAACGGAGATAGTACAGCAGTGTATTAGAGGTTGCCTATTAAATAACTAGAACCCATAAATGAAAATCATTTCCGTCATTTTCATTTCTGAAGTGGCATCTTTTGGGACGAAAACAACAAAAAACTAAACAGATTTTTTTTTAACTGGACATAAAGCCCAAAGGCTTGGATATACGAGCGTTTATTGGCTGCTGATAGAGTTAACTCATTAACAGAGCAGCCAATAGCGGTCCGTTTTTGAATCTGCAAGGCCGTAAATTTCCTACACAGCTAATATGAGCTGTCAAATTATTTGTACAGTAAAGTTACAGCATAAAAAATGTATTCGACTCACTCGTATATCGAAAAGATTGTTAAAAACTCTCTTTTTTTTGTTTTATTTCATATTACGGAACCTATAAACCATCAGAAATCTCTAACTGGGCGAAGTCCATGTTTTTAACTATTTTTGGAAAAAATCTTTTGGTATCATAGACTACCATTGGCGCAGTTCGTACAATATATAGTTTTTAATATCAAAAACATAAGAACAATTTTGATTAGTAGGTATTGCTGATTTTTCAATAAATTCAGAATGCATTTAGTTGTTAAAAGTATGTTTATAGTTTATTAATTGAATTATTTCAACCATAGACAACCATTTCAATTGTATATTTTTCTAATCTAATATCTAGCAATCCAAGTCTTTTACTGCTTGTTTTTAGCTAAAAGAACGCTCAATACCTATTATGAATTTGTCTATTTTCTGTAAAAATCAATTTTTCCGAACCAGAACCAACACAGCGCTGAATTTCAGTCCGGCGAATCTTGATTCTTGCTAAAGATGCTGTGTGCTGGACCACCGTCCATGGAGGGGAAAACGGAGTGAAACAATGTAATACTACCAACCGAACAGATACCGTTTATCGCCGCGATCTACTTGGACGATTGTACTCCCAGTGTCGCCGACTGAGCGGATGAATCATTTCGGTTTAGTTGGTTCGTAGCTATAGAAGAGGGTGGTGATGTGTTTGGAATTCGTTTTGTTTTTTTAATGTTTTTGTGTGACATGTTTCTGTTATGCCAGTTTTGAGTTGATGTTGGTTCGTTTTTAGTTCGTCATGCCTCAACCTACGGATGCTTCTACCCAGGTAGGCCACTGAATATTATGAATTGGAGTGAATAGGTGCGTTATTGAATGGTGGTGTGCGAGAATGACACGAAATGCTACATTTTGTACCTATATCGTTTCAATTTTGCAACATTTGTTTTTTTTTTCACTCACCGTAACGTAATAACTTACAAGTGCAACTGTTAAAGAACGTATGCAAGCATTAATTATAATATTATTTGCATTTACACTACAAATTTAATTAATAAATAATAAACAGTATTCGCAAGTTTGTAAAATATACTTTTTCACAATGTTTATTGAACGTTTTGTTAACAGTTTCTATGAAATGATTGCCGGTTTGTTATGAATAAAATTAATATCCCCAATTTATCGGTTTGACGGAGACTGATCGATTTCATTTGTCGCGTGCTTCCTACACCTTTCCCAGTCGTACCTTTAATTTATCATCATCCACTGATTGAATTGGTGCGGTGACGATATATTCACGTTTGGTTATATATGGCTGACGTCAAGGAGCTTACACCTTTGTTAATAAATAAAATTGATAGTACCAGATTAAATACTTTATATGTTGGAAAAATAGTCCGTGCTCGTAGGTACATGCATTGTTACTAAATAATTAAATTTTGGTTAGGTACTGCACACTCTAGATGAGTGTGTCAAAAATACAAGTAAAAATATGATACCTACTCTTAATAATAAATAATAATTGTAAGATTAGATAGGTACGCTAAGCGCGTTTTGTTTATAATTCTCGTTTTCTCGAGGTCAAAGTATAACCTTTAAATGTTTTGCATGTTGTTATTTTATACCTATTTGGTATAAGTAGTAGTGTAATGAAATCTACGAGTTTAGATATGACCAGTATATGTGTCTCATTCTTCTCTGGTTAGAACGGAGGTTTTTATTGAAATATAGCAGGCTAGTTATTGCGACAGGTATATTAATTTATTTTAGTCTCGATTTGAGCCATCAGTGCCCATTATTTTGCACTGTTTTGCTCGTTTTCCCACTTCTGGTATTTTCTACGCAACGAAATGTCGTAGACGATTTAGAAACTCGTATTCGTAGTTTGGTATTTCTACGCGTTGAAATGTCGTAGGTTCAACAAAATTATCGTCTTGCTAAAAACACTGGCTTTTGCAGTCACACGAAGAACGCGCCATCTACGGCGCAACAAAGACGCATCTGGTTTCCTTTTTGAAAACTAAACAAGACATATTAGAAGTCAGCAATTCCTCCAACGACTCCGATACCGGCGTGTGAGTCACCGCGAAATATCTGCAATCGTGACAACACTCGCCTTTATAGTCTTTCATCCTTTTCTTTCTGCGATAAGGCTATTCATCGAGCGCTTCGAAAAAATTTTCGACCGGCCGGCGCTACGACGCCTTATCGGTAGACTTCTTCGAATAATCGATTATTTATATGTACGCGTAATTAAAAACCGCGAATGACCTTTCCTTTTTAGCTCAACTATTTCCCTCGGCACTCGTATCGCGTTTATTAATGTACAGGCGTCGAGATTCTTGACTCGTCTCCATCCATTGATCATTGAATATGCGGATACACTTTTAACCCTGGTTTCAGTATTTTTCGAAATGGAAAAACGTTTAAGAATGAAAGGATAAAAATGGGACGTAAGTTTTATAATTATAAGTATGTAGGTATTCTTTTTCTTCAGATATTCAGAAATGTCTTTCAAGGATAGTCACTTTTTCCAAGATTATTTTTTTAGGATTATACAGGGTGATTTTTTTTTACATATTTTTTTTTACTGAATCATATTGTTACCTTAATTTTGGAATGGGACACATGGTTACTTGGAAGATTTCAAAATCTATGTCTACGTGACAATCAAGTCAACTATACGAGTACAGTAGTAAAAAAATCATAATTTATCTGTGGATTACAGTACGTTTGATAAGATTTCCATTATTCGAACAATTTTAATCTTATTTATCCTTTCTTAAAATGTTTCCCAAGTGGGGTGTGGTCTCCAATAGATGGTTTCGTAGTTTGTGGTTCATTTCGATAGCCCTTCTAAAAACCTATTAGATTTTATTGAGTCCCTGAATACTTAATAATGGAAAAGAATCTTGATGTAAATAAGATAAGCCCAGGTATAAAATAATCCCACAAAAGATTTTTTTACGTGTGATCTGAAGCGTAAAACGCGTTTGTGTTTAGACATTTGTTGAACCACTTAGTAGTTGATATATGCCCGTCAAAAAAATTGTGTTTCTGTTCGGTCATCAAACAACGAACAGATTTTTCAGTCAAAATTTCATGGCGTGACCCAAAAAGTTCTGTTATTTTCTGATCAGACCTGGTACTTGTTGTACTTGTTGTACTTGTTTGTTTGTTTGTTGTACTTGTTGTACTTGTTGTACTTGTTTTGTTGCAGATTTTATTATTGTAGAACTGAATTTATATTTATGTATGTCTTTGTGTTATGAAACATTGAATTATTATGAAATTATTGCTATAAACGCAAACTTGGTTGTGTTTTTTTTCCTGGTACACTGTAACATCATAGAGATACCGTTTCTTGTATTAGGTAAGTGGACAAGGCAAATAAGAATATTTATATTGAGATAATGGTATTGGGAACTACCACTTACCTGTGCATTTGCATAAGGCATTTTTTGTGTAGTCGTAAAATGTACGGTATAAGTCAAAATGTGATTGTGTATTTTGTATTTGTAAACACAACACGCGCAATGTTTTTTTCTTTGATAAATATAAATAATGTAGTTATGAAATCTCGTATTTACATAAAAAAACCTTTTTGTGACACGCTCTGTAAGTATTTACAACAAAATAAAATGTTAAATTTAATCATATCGTGATTAAATTGGCCTTCATTAAAAAAATTTAATGAATCACTGACGTGGTGTACGGTAGTGCCATTCACGATTTCATTGGAATGTATTAGATTTTTAAGGTTTATTCGGAATTGGCGATTGATAATGCCTATATTTATAACAGTTCCAAACATGGAATGTGTGTAATGTATGTATATTTTCATCATAAGAATAGCCTTAAACAGTTTCCTTAGTGTGTTTTATCTATTCTAGCTTTAAAACCACTAAATTCGATACCAAACTAATAAAGACATAAAGTTATGATGAAATCGAGGAAGGATGGAACGAATCCGTCGTGGTTTTATGATATTAGCTAAGAATTTGTGGCGAGTTTACGTAGGTGGATTATTTTATCACCAATAAACAAACGTATTTTATTTCGAACTATAGGTATGCTTAGCACTTCAAACCGGGATTGTTTTTTAAATATACAGAGTGTTCCGCATAAGAATTCCGAATAAATAAATAAATAAATAAATAAATAAATAAGAACCGACACAGGGCAGGTGTATGTAGGGATGTTCAAAATATTGTAATTTAACCAAACTTACCTATATACAGAGTTGCACCACCAAAGTAGGGCCCTAAATTTCGAAAAAAATTAATATCTGCAACACTTTACCGCAGAAGAACCAAATTAGGTACATGATTTAGGTTTATTACTGGTCTTCTTTGACTGTGATTTAAAGTTAATTGGAGCACTACAAAGTGTTCATTGGGGATGACTCGCCCCTAAAATTGTACCGAACTTTTTTTCATTGATCGAATGGAAAAATAGTAATTTTAATTCACAGCAGAATTTAATTTAAAATTCAATCTTCAATTTGCTTTTTTTTACTCTACCTTTTTACGCCAAGGTAAATTCGCATTTCGAAAATCACCTAAACATTTACGATTCTTTTTATCTTCTAATTTTTGTGACTGGTATTATTGTTCTCGATACCTTTGAACTTTGGTTTTGCACTATTGAATTTTATATCTCAACTTGATCGATTACAAAAACACAAGTGATAGCTGAGATATTGTTTTCTCGACCAGAATACCAGCTCGTTATAGATACTTAAAACCTTTTCTAATATTATCGATTGAAGAATATTGAGGAAAAAAGTTTTAGAATACAATTTTGCACAATATACTGCAAGTTAAAAATGTTCAAATTTATTACCGATGTTGCAAAATAGCAATAATTGATGGAAAAAAAAGGCAAAATAATCACGTTTTTTGGATAATTTTTTCTAATATTTTAATTGTTCCTAGGGCATTTTAATTTTGGTAAAAAAACTTGAGAGTATAATAAAACAACGCACCAAATTTAATTAAAATCGGTTCATTATTATGGCAAAAAAAAATTTTTGAAAATTTTATTCGAATTTTCAAAATGTTGCACAGCTTCAAATAAAGCACCTAGATACTTGAATTTTTTTTCACATAATAAAGACCGCTCACCCTTTCAAATGGTTTTTGAGAAATTGAAGTCGGTTGATTACGAAGGCCACAGTTAATTTGTAAAGGTAACACTTTTTTTTATTTTTAAACAATTAGATTACATTTATCAATTTGCAATTTAGTTTTTTTTCAAATAATATAATTTTAAAGTACTATTTTTTCTTAATTTTATATTAAAAAAAAATAAATTTCCAAATTAAAAATAAATTTATTTGTTTAGCCAAAAATTATTTAAATAATTGTAATAATTATAACTAAATACATTCATATTCAGAGTGTTGAAATATATACGTAAATAAATTTTTTAATTGAAAAAATGCAATAGCTTAATATGGTAAAATGTACAGTATATTTATGCCTAAGTAATAAACTTTGTTTATAACAAAATATGTGCAAATTAGACAGTTGGCATTACGATATTCGAATTCCTTGGCTCGCGAGACATCGGATTAAAAAAAAAATCGAAATTGGTCCATTAGAGATAATGCAATTTTTTTCGTATCTTCGCATTTTGAACCTCCGAATTCAGTCTGAGCGAAAGCCCCCTCCCCCACTTTTCTTGTTTTGAGTCACTTTTCGCGCGTGCGAGCGACAGTTTTTCCGCTGATTTATCTATGTTGACGATAACTTATAGATATGAAAATTTTTTCCATCTTAGAACTCGGAAAGACGAAGCCACTGGATCAAAGATTATTTCTAAATT